TAGTATTAGTAGTAGTCGTAGTCGTAGTAGTAGTAGTAGTAGTAGTAGCAGCAGTTGTTGTTGTTGTTGTGACAGCAGTAGCAGTAGCAGTGGTTGTGGTAGTGGTCGTAGTAGTAGTCGTCGTAGCAGCAGCAGCAGCAGCAGGAGGAGGAGGAGTAGTAGTAGTGGTAGAAGTAGTAGTAGTAGTAGTAGTAGTAGTAAGAGGTAGTAGTTAGTAGTCAATACTTCATCGTAAGTAGTTAGTAATCAGCAGCAGCAGCAGCAGTAGTGTCATCGGAAGTACTAGCGGTACTAGTACTAGCAACTAGTAGACGGACGATAGCAGGCATAATGCCTTGCGCTCGGCCGAGGAATTCGATAGCTTTTCGGCAATACATTTTGACAACACGCAGCCCCGGACAAATTGACAACATGCAGCCCCGGACTAAAACGAAAGCAAGCAGTTTCAAGGCAATGCCCGAATAAATTCTCAAGGATTGAGGAAAAACGATGAGGAAAAATTGCAGCTGAGACAGTACAACCAAAATTGGGCGCATCACAAACACGATGTGAGGTTTGAGCCACGCTGATCTATGGTTTGCCGTGACATTATTCTATAGTTCTGCCTGCACTGCGCAGCCCCAGGGTATTCCAGCCGTGTTCGCATTCGGCAACTTCACCAAGTGCCTCAAAGGTTGTGCTTCCGGGGCGGGGGGGGGTTCCAAGTAGCACTGTGCCAGCTTTCGCAGGTTCATGGCATCCGCAGGTCGACTAATACTGTAACGGTTTGGAAAGGTCAGATGTTGCGAACATTGAAGTGCTCATTGCCTGCCAGTAGGGCTTGGTGTTGTAGTCGGATATACAACAGAGATTCCATATGTACACCGATGCATGCAGGATGCTTCAGCAGGAGCATGCCCGACTTGAGTGTCACCAGTGTAGGCTCCAGAAAATCCTCCGAAAACATCAGCAAGCTTGCAGGAACAGCTGCGCAGTTTCACAACGGGGTTGGGTACGCCAAGTACATCTAGGGCCATCTAGGGAGGGCTGTTTTTTCACAAAATAACTCCTGAAGTCTTCAGGAACCGCCTAAAACCTCCAAAACACAATCCAAAACCCTATGCACACCATATTTCCGAAACTCCGCAAAAGAAGCTGCAAACTCAGAAACATCCAAGACCCTCAGGATTAAAAACCCATAACGAAACAAGCGCTCTCAAAAAAAACAGCCGGTAAATGAGGGCTAACAGTGAAGCGACGCCCTAAACCAAACCCTAAATATGACACTCTGAAACCCTAAATCCGCAACAGAGCAAGCAAGGAGTCGGTCCTTCCAAGCGGCGAGAACAGCAACCAACCGCACCAGATTCCGCGGACTCAGCTGTTCCGGGTGGACGGAGCGCAATGCCCCGTTCAACACATTCCTGAGTGTCTGCGCAGAACACAAATCCCGCACCTGCGTTCCGTGGTGGCTTGACACAATGCGGCATCGGTGTGCATTTTCATGTTCCAGGTAAGTTCTGTTTCCACATCTGTATCAAGCTAGTTTTATATCAAAAACTATATATGGGCAGACAAAGAAGGGCATGTTGGCAGAGGCGGACAAGCTTTTGGCGATTCAGAAATGTGCCCATGAAGCTGTTGGAGCTATTTTGCAGGGGCTTGGGTCAAGCTTTCGAAGGCCTAGGATTTGTGATCATCTTCGGCCATGTCCACCAACAAGGTGGAAGTTTGAAACTCCCCAGGCAGAGAGCCGAAGCACACGGAAGGCGAGGTATGAATCTTGAATAGGACATGCCAGAAGAGAACTGCCTGCTCCATAGACCTGAACCACACAAGGAGAGCCAACGTCGCATAGCCAATTTCGAACGCCTCGCCGAGAAGTCACCGAACAATTTAGATGTAGACACTTTATTTCATAAAACTGCACAGGTCGTAACGTTTAGTAAGTTGATGATATAAACGTCACAGCCATCGAGAGGCCTTCGAAAGCCTGACCCAACCCCTCTAAAAAATAACAGCTTCATAGGTGCAAACTTGAATCGCCAGAAGCTTACCTATCTCTGTCAACGTCTCGTTCTCTGTCTGCCCATCTATAGATACAGATACACACAAAGATATAGGGAGAACATGATATGGATATGGATACATGTGTGTATGTACATATAAATATTTGTATGGAAAGCGAATATAAACATTTGTATGGAGACCAAGAGAGACAAAGGCAGAAAGAGAGATAGAGATAGAGCCAAAGCTCGACAATGAGATGGACGCAGAGCTAAAGGCAAACACAAGGAGAGCGATGGGGAGTATACACATCGATACGAATATGGATGTGGACAGAGACTAGAAACATAGTTAGATATCGATATCGATTTAGGTATGGATATAGGTACGGATGTAGATAGAGGTAGAAATAGAAATAGAGATATTGATATAGACAAACATAGATTTCGTGAATACATGTGTAGTTTTTAATGTGCAAATTTCGATCTACATCTAGATCAAAATGAACATCTCGCTCCCGATTTCGAGCTCGTTATCGATCTACACCTACAGCTATACCCTATCTATCTATCTATCTATCTATCTATCTATCTATATATATCTCAGGGTACATAATATATAGATTTGCTTAGGTTCTGTGAAAAAGATATTTATATACATGTATATATATATATATGCATGCACACGCATCTGAACATGTATATATGTATGTATGTATGTATGTATATATATACATATATATATATATACATATACATACATACATATATATATAGGTGCTTAGGTATATGGATACAGCCTGGTTTTTGCGCATAATCTGAGCCAATAAGGTCCAAGATGAGTCGGAATCGCCAATTCACGGGGCGCATTTAAGCGATGCGATGACCAGGATCGCCAATTCAGGGGTCGGCTATAAGAACGTGATAAGCCTTCATCGCCAAATCACGTGGTGTATGAAATGTGATGAACTGGGTTCGTCAGCCCGCCAAAAGAGCGGGCGGGCCCAAGAAACGTGATCAGCCGAGATCGCCAAATGAGGGGGCGCGTTTAAGATGTAATTATGATCGCCAAATCTGCGGGCTGGCGTGAAAACATATGGATTTAGTATCTATCAATGGGAAGAGTTGGCATATTATGAGATGTACAGGTACATGCATACATATATACATGCATGTATATGTATATATATATATATGTGGGTATGAAAAAAAGATGTGTGTATATATATATATACACACACATATAAGTATAATATATATATATATAGAGAGAGAGAGTTATAGCCTTACAGTATAAACGAATTATAGGTATGTAGATATACAGCTGCACAGGTGTATGGACATATGGATATAGAGCTCTAAATATACAGAGATGGACTTAGATATATATATATTATAGATAAGCCTTGACATACTGGTATACATACATAGATGGAGTGGGCTTGCCTCTAGGAGGAAGAGATTAGTATGTACATGTGACATACACGAGCATACCAATGAACAATTGCGCATAATAAAGTAACATGCATTAGATTGGAAAAACAAAAACAAACGCAAACTTCAGCTTTAACTACTAAGCCTCAAGATTTCGGGGGGCTTCCTTTCCTCTAGGGTGTAATAAGAGTTTTCACCCAACGACGTTTACATCAAAGCGGCCTACTGTTTCCGTGGTTTGCGTGCGTCTCGTTCGCAGTTTTGGGCCCCAAAGTTCACGCTTAGAGGGTCTAGGGGTTGCAGCTTAGGGCTTCGGGGCCTTTAACTTGGCGGCTTCCGGTAACCGCGCCAAGCAGCAATTCAACCGCAAAGTCAATGCTTTCGTCTGGACGCTTGGCGGCTGCTTCCCACGGTTCAGGTGGCTGCAGCAACTCCTCAGCTGATCCATTTAAATCCCATGCCCCAAGTCCTAAACCCAAGGAATTAAGCTTTCGGTGCATCAGTTTTCAGATTCAACAGACATAGTCACAAAAAACCATCAGCTCCTGCATCAACTCACTGGTCTGCGTCGACCCAGACCCATGTCTAGAGCCTATAAGCCTTCTAGTGGATGCGAAAAGATGTCGCTGAAACCGCGCCCTGCCACGAGCTCCTTCCTGCTTGGCGCAGAGGGCATGGGGGCAGGCAGTGCATCTGGATCTCGGACCTAGGCTGCAGGTCCCTGGGAGCGTTGAAGTTTGGGGTCTTTTAGCCTTAGTTTTCATAAACCAAAGGGGGCCATGCCCGCCTGAAGCCCAGGGCCTGTCAGGTCCAAGCAACTATGACTTGTGGGATCTGGGGTGCGGGGGGCATGTGTCAAAAGCTCAACGGCCTAGCGGCAAAAGGATGATGCAGCAAGTCCGGCCATCCGAGCCTCTGCTTGGGATCCTTCTGCAGCAAGCCTTGCAGAAATGACCTGAAGGTTTCCGACATGGATTCTGGATACCGCACAGGCTTCTGGACGATCAGCCGGACCAGCGACACGAGCGAGTTCGTGTAGAATGGCGGCTGCCCGACAAAGAGCTCGTAGCAAATCACACCCAACGACCACAAGTCAACGCTTCCATCATAAGGCCTTTCCTGCACCAGTTCTGGTGCCATGTACAACGGAGTACCCTTTATGGAGGTGAGAACCGTGGTGTCAGAGGACATGGCCCGTGCAAATCCGAAGTCGCAAAGCTTCACGGTGCCATTGGAACCGATGAGGACATTCTGCGGCTTCATGTCGCGATGAATCACTTTCTGTGAGTGTAAATAATTGAGCGCCTTGACTAGCTGCCTGGCAATGTTGCTGACTTCTGCTTCTGGCAAGCGCTTGTCATCCTGAAAAATCTCGAACAACTCTCCATGCGCGAACTGCGTCACGACCACGAAATCCGTATTGGTTTCAAACCAATCTAAAAGACGAATAATATTTTCGTGCTCCAAGCGTTGCAGAATGCCGATCTCAAGACGGAGCTGCTGTTGATCTTTTTCAGGCTTGCCCCGCTTGGAAATGAACTTCATGGCTACGATCTGACCCGTGTGTCGGCGTCGTCCCTTGTACACTTTGCCAAAGCATCCTTGACCAACCAAGTGTAATACATGGTAATTCTCCATGTGGTCAGCCTGCACCTAGTGGAGGGCACGAAGCAAGCAGAAGCAGCTGGCACGGCTGTTTCGGCCGCAGAACATGGCAGAATCGTAGAATTACTCTAAAATGCCTGACCCTGCTGTTGACTTGCCCACACGGAAGTTCAGTTACGCTCGTCGAAGCACTTAGTATCAGTGCTTCGAGTAGGACATGAAACCATCAAGCTGCCTGCTAAAGCCTTAAGCAAAGGCATGCAGGGACAAGATTTTGAAGACGTTCAATCACAAAGCATTCCAAGCGCCTCCAAAGCCTCTGCGTGTATGAGTTTGTGTGTGTGTGTGTGTGGGTGTGTGTGTGTGTGTGTCTGTGCATGCCTGCATGCATGGACGGATGTAGGGATGGATGTATATTTCTGTATGTTTGTGTGAATGAATGAATGAATGTATGTATGTATGTATGTGTGTATGTATGTATGTATGTATGTATGTATGTATGTATGTATGTCGTGTGTATGTGTATATGTGTGTGTGTGTATGTGTGTGTGTGTTAGTTAATGTCCGTGTCATACTTCTGAGATGAACCAAAGCAGGAATGGCGAGCACTCTGTTCCAGCACATCCACATACATGAATGCTTGTCCATTGCTCAATGGACTGTCGAAGCAGCAATGTCCAGCTTGACTACGTGGTTGCACAGAACCGCATCTATGGTTCTGTCATGATCCAAAACTCAAGGTAAGCAACCTCTGGATTGCAAAACTGTGTTCCACGCGTGGAGATATGTGGAGATGAGGCAGGGTTGGCGTGTGATCAAAGTCCTGATGCTGAGATTCAATATGACAATATACAATGTCTAGAGTATGATTCGTCTCGAAATCCTCAAAGAAGTATCGCTGAATCGACCAGCGATGGCGGCGACACAAGGTCCGACACAAGACTCCCCGCAAAAGTTTAGCTACCAAACTTTGACTGGGACAGCCGTGAGCCTCAATAACAAGCTGGACAACCACGCTATGCCGTTGACCATGCAATGCCGCACCTGGAATTCACCGAGATGACGACACGACACGGAAATGAGATGCATTTAAAAATCGCAGCAGCCAATGCCGTTTGCTTTTAGGTAGCATCACCGGGTCCAGTGTACTATGTCAAGCCATGCGAAGGCTCTTCGTAGCCCGGAAACGTGTCACCTCAAAACTCCCGAATCTCCCACGACGCCCTGCGCACCCAAGCATAAGGGACACCGTGTTTGACTTCAGGGGGGACGTGTCAGTCTGTCGGGACCTGCACCCTGTCATACTGTGCCGTGGCCAGTTCTGGCCAAGGAAACATGTGGTATGCCCCAAGTGGCCTGTCCGGTCATAGCTCACAGTGGAAACTTCCGCCATGACTCGCAGCTTTTAGCTGGGCTCATGCCCCACAAAACGTCTCGCAGAACAATCCCAAAAGTACATACACAGGTCTGAAACTAAACTCAAACTAATGCGAAGCTCCCCTGGCAATTCGCAGGGCCCCCCCGCGCAAAACTTTCTGAACAAATTCTCTCACTCGGCCTCAATCACAGATGCTGCGCCCATGCCGCTCCCCAAGCACATGGA